GTGTGGGTGTGGGTGTGGGGTGTGGGTGTGGGTGTGGGTGTGGGTGTGGGTGTGGGTGTGCTTGTGGGGGCGGGAATAGGGGCGAGATGTTGGCATGGGTGCAGGTGCTTATATCAACTAAATCCACACCCACACCCACACCCACACCCATACCCACACCCCACACCCTCCAGCCACCCACACCCACACCCACACCCACCCACACCCACACCCACGCCCACACCCACACTCACACCCACCCACACCCACACCCTAGTTGGTAAAGTGTTGTTGTATTTGTATTTGTAGATTGTTGTTGTTGTAAATGTGATTGCTCTGGTGATGGTGAAGCTCGTGGTTTGTTCAAGTTGTTTATTTGAATGCTGTTGCTCTTAGTATTATTATTCATTTTTGTTTTTTTACGATTATGGTAGATTAATTTTGTGGATGGATCTTTTTCGCAATCTTCTAATTCAGAAAGATCATCTGTTGATGAATGGGGTCGACGTAGTGGGGAATTAACTGGTTTTAAATTGTTACGATGTGGAGGAGGAATCGAGTGATAATTTGGTACTGGTGTGTTTTGAAGACTATCACTTTGATAATAATCATTGTTAGTTAAAGTTTGATAAGCTTGATTGTATATTTCTGATGTTGTTGGGATATTTTGATTGATTTGATGGTTGAGACATGGTTTATGATTGTGATTTTGACCACTTAGGTTATGACTAGATGACGTAGAACGTCTTCTACTCATGACGAAAAGAAAGATTTTTACCGAGAACTGTTCTCAAGAACCGAACTTCGGTGATCACGCGGTCAGAACGTGACGAGAAGAAGAGAGAAGAAAATTTCTTTCTTTCTGTTGTAAATATTCGAATAGATATAGGCAAAAAAATACGTCTTATCTCTTGGTAAGTTGTAATAAGCGAAGAAAATTATCGATTTTTAACATATAAATATGAATGATTTTCTATGTAAAATCATTCAATTTATTGAATCATAATAATCTTTTCTTTATATATTTTAGATTGGTTTCGACAATACAAAATTAAACAATTCAATTCAATACAAGGCAATAAAAAAATGTAGGTATTAGTTTATATTTTTTTTTCTTTTTACGATCATATAGAGGGTGGTAAGTCCTCTTATGATCTTTTTATATTAGTGTTTTTCTTTTCATTTTAGACGTTATGATTCAACATCAACGGGTGAGTTTTTTTTTCTTTGCGTTGAGATGAGATTAGTTAGTGTGAGTGATGTACGTTGAGACTAGGGTTCCTCGTTATAAGAAGGACTTCCGGGTAGTCCCTAAAAGCCCGGCCAGGAACTGCTTTGGTGCCCATGGCAACGCGATCGGGCCCCCAGACTCACTGACATATGACATCGGACGGATGCATGTGAAGGATGTGGATCTTTCCGCGCGTGCATGAGCGTTACGCTGGCCACGACCCCATCAGGGTCGTTCCTGGTCGCGTGCGAGAATAGAAATAAATATGAATGCATTGTTTCATTCAATCACGTTTTATTTGAAAGAGAAAAAAAGGAACGAAACAAAAGAATTAATCGTCGTATTGAGTTCATTCAATGTTAAATTTTTGTACTCGATGATTACTGTGATCGACGACATAGAGATTACCATGTCGATCGAATGATAAACCTATGGGACCATAGAGTTGATTCGACTGTGTTCCATAATCGTTTGCACCAACAATGATACTTCCTCGTGTGGCTCCTTTTGGCCAACGCATGATTCGATAATTCCAAGAATCAGCCACATAGACAGTACCCATTTGATCGACAATGACTCCATAAAGATAATTCAATTTTGTAAGACTATTTCCAAATCCTTGACCACCGGCTACGACAATGCCTTGTTTTGCACCTTCTTCCCATTTCATAACGCGAAAATTTCCATAATCAGATACATAAACTGAATGATCTCGATCGACAAATACGTATTGAGGTTGAGAGAGTTGATCGAGACGATTTCCTTCTCCATTGCCACCTGCAACCATTATTCCTTTAGTATCATCAATTTCATATCGTCTCACTCCATGTTTTCCATTGTCAACGACATAGAGAAAACCATTGTCATCCATTGTCAAACCAAAGCAAGAGATATTTGAAATTATTGTTTCTCCACGAGTACCATTTCGACGAGGCCATCGAACTACTCTTTTATTCCCTTCATCACTGATGATGAGACTATCGCTCTCTTTGTCGATAATCACATCTCGTGGGCCATTTAATTGATGAGCTCCATTCCCTTTTTCATTTCCACCAGCAACTACTTTTCCATTCGTTGCACCATATTTCCATTCCACAATACGGTGATTGTATTGATCAGCGACGTAAACTGTTTGATCGTCGTCGACGTACAAACCCAATGGGCAATTGAGTTGATTGATTTCACTGCCATATCCATTTCCTCCAGCAACCGTGATACCATTCTTGGACCATGTTGCATTTGGATGAATATCAATGGAGCTTGCACGCATTGGTACTGAAATGAAACAAAAGTATGAAGTAGAAATAAAGATGGATTTCATGTTGCTAAGAAATTCATGAGATATTTGTAATTTAATTGATAGGATCAGAAGAAATATCTAATTTTTTGTAAACATATTTATTGAATGTAATTGTTCTACTTTCACAATGATTAAAATTTTTGTGTTGCATTTTTTTTTGCTCAGAGATAAGACTTTCAAAGCAGAAAAGAGAATAAAATCTATTGCATCGTTTTAGTTTTAATTTTTGTACTATATTAAAACATTCCATTATCAATCTATATGAAAAAATAATTTCAGAAGATTTAAATTATAAATCAATGAAAGTGCAGTTGTATTTCTTGTTTTTTATTGATAAAAAATACGATTTATTAATACTGATAAAAGTGAAAACAATATAAGTCAAATATTTGAGTAGATAATTTTATTTTCTACTTATAGATGAAAGTAAACATAGTCGAAATTATTGATAGTAAACAAAAAAATAGATATGAGTGTTTGAAAATTAAACAACACAACTGAATTTACTGTTTTATCTATTAGTCTTTGTTTGAGTCAGTGTGAATTTTCAGTCAAAAGAATAATGAATAAATCTTTGCTTAATAAGTGCTTATATTTTATATAATAGTCAAAAATAGAATCCGAAATTCACACGGAAGTCAAACTTGGGAGTATATCTTCTATATTACAATACAATGCAATCATGTCAATAAAATTAAACTTTTAATTTGAATTAAGTTAAATAGTTAGAATTGTAATTCATCTCATGAAGATAAAGCTAGAAGTTATAAATATTAATACGAAATTCTTTTTCCTCAATGATACTTGCTAGATGAAATATTATCAATTTCTTTTTACATTCATACTGTGTAATACAGACAAAGATAGATCCTTTAAAAAAACAGGAATGAATGTAACTTGATGTACAAATTTATGGTAACTTGTAATATTACATAAGAATTCATGATTGTTATACAGATTAATTTTTTATCTACAAGCAATCATATTTTTATCATCATCTTCGTGTCTTCCAATTATTCAGACATCTGCTTATACACACAAACTTCGTTCATTTAAAATAGATACGATCTATTACACTATAAACAAATTTATTAGAATCTTTTTACCTAACTGTTTCCACACTATAACTTCTGAATTTCTAAATAGGTTTTTTTAATTTCATTTACTAATTGATCAATTATAAGTCAAATCATATTATGTTAGTTCTAGTTTATCATTAGGACAACTTCCTTTAAAACTTTATAAAGCTATGTATTTGACTCATAAAATGAAAATTATGTATTTCTCTCAGTTTAGACCTAAAATTTGATGAAATCGAGTGTATGATGAAAAATATCTGTTTTTTGATTAATCTTGTTGTGAATATTCCATTCTATTATTAGTGTGCCAATTTTATTTATGAGAAATTGATGTACGATATCAGTAAGAACATTTCTGAAAAGATTATGAAATTAAACAATTAAAACACTTTATTAAGATGATGGTCTACGTTGTGCATCAGCACAATTCACACTGAGGCCATTTTAATGTCATTTTACCGTTAGATGTTTTGGCTTTCTAAGTTTTACATATTTTGATAAAGTAATAAAACTTGTAATTATATAATGACTAGTTGTAGGAAAACAATGATTTTTTCTATTTATTAAACATGTTTTAATCTGTCCCATAATATTTATATAAATGTAGGGAACTGAGCAGGATATATACTTCGTCAGAAATATCGAAAAATTTTTTTACTTAAGATCATCTTTAACACGTATCAGTACTTTAAATCAAACTTATAATTTTGTGATATGTGCAATTCAATAGTGAATTAAATCAGTAAGAAAAAAAAATACACATAATCTTATTGATTTATTTTTTGTGAATCAATGTTTCTTTGAGAATTAGAAAATAATCTTTGAAAACTTTCTAGAGAATAAACAAAAGAAAGATATTCATGTACGTATGAAAATGGCGCGCTTTTTTTTTCAATGATATCCGAAATTTTATGTGATGTTAGAATTTGCTTAGTTAAGTCGATGTACCCTTTTCATCCATGTATAGGAATATTGCATTACGTGCATTCTACTTTCATGTTATACTTATTAACTTAAGGAAATATTTAACTATCTAAGTTTTCAATGTTATAATTTCACGTATAAGACCCAAGTAAGCACAATACGGGCTAAATGACGCGTCTTTTTTCTAGTCATGTCGCCCGTCATGCCTAGTCTTTGTCTCAAATTCGACTATATAGTAGCCCAGACAAATAAATATAACTGAGAAGCTAATAAAATCAAATGCATCCAAATTTAGATGAATTCTTCTCAAAAAAATTCTATAGACTTTGTATCATATAGCTGAAGTTGGACATACATAAAAAGAATATGTATATATATATATATCTAGCATAGGTACTATCATAAAAATGTTATTTTTCTAATTATTTTCTCGTGGATTCTACTGTTAAAGTAGTTTGCATTATGATATTGAATTTATTCCTATGTTTAAGACAGTAAATAGGTTTTTTCCTGGTAATATTGTGCTCATTCAACGAAGTTATCAACTAAGTACAATGTATTTTCTTTCTTTTAAAATATCTCAGTAAATAGAATTATATTTTTAAAGTTACTTTTCTTTTTTTGAGTGAAATCAATGGACGTAGACGAAGAAACATCACGATTTCTCGCTCATTACAGTCAATGCAAAATTATGTACTCTTACATAAATCAATAGATTCTATTTAATTCAATAGATTTCGTCATTTGGAACATAATCACAGAAAACAAACATAATCAATTTTCTGTTGTATTCTGTATTCTTCATAAAATGAGAAACAAAGCAATAGCTATCATATTGTTAATATGAAGGTTTTTCAGATAATATGTATCAAAACAAAATAATATATCTATAAAATAAAAGTGCGATTGTTACATTGAAAGATCTTAGAATTCAATTTAACGAAAACCCAAGTAATCTCTTTTATTCAACCTACTCCCGTCATGTATAGACTTTTATTAGAATGCCGATGTAATCTTAGAAAGAATCAATATTTGCATTCAGATATCGAAAATCTTCATATCCAACAAAAATCATAAGTTTTTGATTAGGTTCTAAGCAAGAGCTAATTGTTCATTCATATATTAGTGAAAGACGCATTGGAATCGAAGCAAAAATCAATGAGAATCTTCAATTTTAGTGTCAAAGCTAAAACTCATTAAAATTATACTTTTTTGTTGTTTAAAAATGTTTCGATGAATAGGAAACTTGAATTGTATAGATTAGACATACACTGATCGATGAAATTTTGTTGAAAATATCTCGATTTGTACATGTAATTTGTATAAATGTTTTTACAATGAGCACTAATCGCATTTTTGATATGCGACACAATTTTTGTATCAATTATATAAGAAATCTATGAATTAGTAACTATTCAACTAAAATCATTGATGATTCACTTAATTTGATTTGGGAATAAATGTATTCCTCATTCTTTTTAGTTATCTATTGCATAATCAAAGCTTGTCATAAACCAAGCAACTGGCGATATATTTCGTGCTAAATTCAACAGTCTAATTGAATTCATGAAAAGGATTAGTTGCTTTCAGATATCAGGAAAAAAAATATTTTCATTACAGTTTCACATTTGTTAGTAAGATCTTGAAAAATGATCTATTTTGAAAGTACTAGAAAATTCATTGAATTCGATTTGAAAAATGTTTTCAATGAGTGAAAAGTGACTTTCTACCATTGTACACCTTGCCTAAAGCTCAAGTGAAATTGACACACTATTTTGAGAAATAGTATTTTTTTATTCAAACTATGTGAAATAACTTTTAATCTGTCGGGAAACAATACATATGTTTTGCTTATCTTTTTCTTTTTATACTGGAGAATAGTTTTCATTTACGAAACTTTCATTTTTTTTTGTGAGATAAAGCATTACATTTACAATTAGATCTTGTTAACAGATCTTTGATTGGTTCACGTGGAAAGTCTATGTTGAGTCTATCCGCACTTTCTAAATAGAGGTATGCTTTTCCGTCAATCTGTAATTATAAGATAATCATCTTGTTCTTCACCTTCTTTGACACTATATACATTTATAAAAGTATTTGTAAGATTATTGATCAGACTTAACTCTCTTTAGTCATATTTCTTGTTTTAAATTGAAATATTGAACTATCAATCAAGTCATACTAGACAACTTGATCAACTTTGGTTATTCAAACCACAATCTTAATTCTTGCCATGGATATTATATAAATATATATACTAGGCTACGTAGAGGAAATTGGTTTATGTTCCTTGACAATGTCCTTTTAGTTCAAAGAGAGCAAATTTCTAAGTTTTAGTTATAAGATAACGAATCCAAGAAAAAAAATGTCTCTTTGGAGGGTTAACATTGAAATACTTTAACAAGGCATGAAATTTGCATACACAAATTAAGAAAAAAAGCAACAAAACTATGCAAACATTTCTTGCAAAAAAATAAAATATGCTTGTAACGTCCAAATCATGCATTTCGAAACATAAGTTAACAATTGATCAGCTAAAATATTGAATGCCAAGCATACTCTCTCATGTAAAATATGCAAGATTTTTAATCTTTCTGGTTCCTTTCAGGCCTCGAAATCGAGCCACTTTTGATGGTCCGGCTCGATTCAGAACGATACTATTCTAATTATATTTCTTTTAGAAAAAATAGACTTTTACATGGCAGAACTCAACGGTCACTGAAGTTAGGGTGGTTCTTGCTTATTATTTTACTTTATATTTAAATTTCATAAATTTTAACTTAAGAATAGATTTAAATTTAAAATACATGTAAACCCTCAGATCTGAAAGAGTTAAATTTATTTAATTCTCGTAAATGTAAATTGGTCTTCTCTAAACTAAAGTGTGGGTGTAAGTTTGAAGAAAATACCAACAACACCCACACCCTCACATGTTGTCAACGAGACTTAATTATTTCATGTTAAACAAACGAGATAAATGAATGACGAAAAATGATAAGCTTTTTCATCGTTCTGCATAATGTTATGCTGAATACATTTATTTGTATTATATAATATATCTTCAACAACTTTAAGTTTATTGTGTATTTCCTTGTAGAATATTAGTGTGGCATAAGTTTGGTGTTCTTTTCGTTGAATAGCACAGTTCTTCTATTCACTAGTCGATATTAAGTAAGGTAAACAATTTCAGAATCTTTAACAATGCTCAGATTCGGATCAAGATTATTTTACAGATTTCAAAAAAAGTATTTATTTTTGCAGAGAAAAATTAGAATAATCATCTTCAAAAGCAATACTTCATGAAAAATAAAAAGACAGTTTTTTTTACATTCTTTTGTTTACGATTGTAGTTTTTCTACGTCAAACCGCTAGTCTACGATCTAAAAACATATTGGAGAAAATTGAATCTTTCAGAGAGATAAATTTCTGGTCTACTTCCTAACAACCTTAACATGAATTGGGATGTTTTCTTCAGGAGAAAGAAAGTTGCTAGCTAACTACTATTCATAAAATGATTGTATCGTATACAATTCGCTCAAATTTCTTGAGTTAATTCAGAACATTATCTTTTTACTCAATAAAAACATTTCTGAGTCGAGAAGAATAAGAGTGGCTTGAAAAATCCAGGTTTTTGTTCGGAAGTCTCCTGTGTGATCCAGGTACATTTGGACTGATTGTAGCGATAGATGAAATTTAAGAGAACATTTTGAAAAGTCTGAGTAAGTTTCATATTGGAATGTCAAAGAAGTGCTCATTTCATTTATAGAATCGTTTAGAAAACTACAGTCAAAAAAAGATAGTTTTATTTTCAATTTTATTTTCAATTTTATGTTCAGTAGATTGCGTAGAAAAATGTGAATTGCCTAGACGATACTATTTTCCGGCTAATTTTCAATTATTTTAGCTATTTCAATCTTGAAAAAGTAGTTTTTCAATTTTTCAGCTAATTTGCACCTAGTTGCTTACTCGGAACAGTTTTTAAGATAATGAAATTCTCTATACACTCGTATAAAAACCAACATTAAAAATAATTGTTGAATTCATCAAATTGATAAAAAATAAAACTGTGTCATCTATTATATGAAATTCCTTACTTTTCTCATTTAGGAAAACATTTCAGTCTTTCAAAAGAATCTCTTACTGATTTTGATAGTGAGAGAAAGTTTTGATCTCAACGGCAGATTCCGCAACTCCGCTATATATTCTAATGACGCTGTAAATTTTCTATTGTTCTATATATTTCTCTCTTGTGTTGCATAAAACAATTTGAAGACAGCTAATCTACCCCTCATTTGACAAGTACGAAAACTGTAAACTTTTTCGTTGATAGAACTGAAAATTCTTTATTATTTGATAAGCTTGCGTTTAGGTTTATACAAGGGGGAAACAGCGGACTTCAAGACTTCAAGACTTCGAAAGACTTCAACAGACTTCAGCCGCAGTGACTTCATATTTTAACAAGACTTCAAAAGACTTCTAAAGACTTCTGAAGACTTCATAGGACTTCAAATGACTTCGCAAGACTTCATAAGACTTCGTATGACTTCATGGGACTTCAAAAGACTTCCAAAGACTTCGTTAGACTTCACAGACTTCGTGAGACTTCACGGACTTCATGAGACTTCGCCGACTTCATGAGACTTCAGAGACTTTGTAGGACTTCCTGAGACTTTATAAGACTTCATCAGACTTCACAAGACTTCATAAGACTTCACAAGACTTCATAAAACTTCACAAGACTTTACAAAACTTCACAAGACTTCACCAGACTTCACAAGACTTCACAGGACTTCAAGAGGCAGATTCCATGCGTATCAAAAGAAACCTTATAGAAATTACATGAAACCTCTATAACATGCAAAAAAACAAAACTTATCAAATAGTAGGGGTCTCATTTACCGTTTACTTTATAATAAATATGAATTATTTATCATTTAATTTACGCGTAAATTAAATGAAAAGTAAATATAAATTGACACCCTTATTCATAACAGAGTAACTAGTGTCTTCCGAGAACCACGAACAGGAATGATATTGAAAATTGATTGCTTCCAAAAGTCTGTTTTGTGGAACTCACGTATATTTTCGAAGAAAATAGTAAGTGTACGTTTTCAGTTCGAGGTTTGATGGCTCTCTCTCCCGCCCCACCCCATTATAGACACTTAGCAACGGAGAAAGAGAACATTACAGACATACCCCCCCCATTACAGCCCTTACCAACGAGGATTAAATAATGGTGAAAATATTATTTTAGCTGCATTTAATCGTGCAAAAGAACTAGTTAGTAATTTGAATATATTACCTTCATTAAAGAAATGCAATGCTTGTGAACTTAATGGTTTAAGTAAAAATATATTTGATAGTATTAGATTCAACATTAATTCGGATACTTATTCGGCAACGGATGCAGATTCTTCATCAGATTCTGAATCTGATTATGATGATGAAACAATGGAAAGTAATGAATTTAATAGTGATCTAATCAATGTGGATGAAGAAGATAAAGATGCTGCAATGACACAAAGTGTTGATGAAATTAAAACTGAGAAAATAAATTTTACTGGTATGCGTATATTTCATTCGATCAATCCAGCAATGAAAAACTTCTATTTTCAAGTGCAAATAAATAACAAGACTAAATTTATACACAAGCAAACGGCTTGTTGGTTATTAACTGACAAAGCTAGCCGTTTATCGGCTGATAGATTATCACGAGTGATAGAGACAAACAAAAAGGATTAAAATTCTTCATCAGATTGATTTGGATAGATAAAACATTTCTTATAAAAATAAAACACTTCATTCAAAAAGATTCAGTTATTAACTATTACGTTTACTAAGACCAAACAAGCTTGAATTTTTTCCAGCACATTGAAAAAAAATAATAAATAGTTCACCTTTCTGCTAAAATAAAATCGTCGAAAACAAGACAATTTCATGGGTTTCTTATGGGTGTGGGTGTGGGTGTGGGTGTGGTTGGGTGGATGTGGATGTGAAAGGAAAGTCCCATACGCACAACCACACTCCACATCCACATCAGCGCCCCCAGCCACACCCCACACCCAACCACATACCCACACCCAGCCACAGTTATACCCACCCACACACGCCCATACCCACACCCCACAACCAACCACACCACACCCACACACACCCAACCACACCACACCCACACACACCCACACCCACACCCACACGCACCCACAACCACACCCACCGACACTCCCTCTCACCCACACCCTGTTTACATATAAAATACGTTCGCGTGTTGTCGATACCCACAGCCTTTACAGTCGTTTCCCATTGATTCCAATTGAAGCAATTCTTCTCCCAAGTATCCTCACAACTATTAAGAAAAAAAAACTGAATGTTATTTTATGCATACTGTTTTGTTTGTTTTATTGTCTTAGGCTGTTTATGAAACCCGATTATTTTCACTAATGAATAAATACATAAATAAAAATCTTTAGGAAAACATTGAAAACTTTTAATTTAATTCTTGATTTATATAACATAATTAAGAAAAATTAATATAAAAATAAGGAAATAGACAGAGGAAAAGAGTGAAAGACTAAACGATTTAAAATTAAATTGTTAACACATGTAATAAATAAATTATCGATTGGATCAAGTTTTATAATGTTGCCGAACATCTTTAAAAATGATTTCAAATTACTTTTTAATAGGAAAAAAGTGCTGGCCTGTGACGCAATTCGTGTATATACATCACCAGTAAACATGGTATCAATTATTGTCTTACTTACGCATGAGCTCTTTGAGATGATTGGAAAACATCAGTAATGTTGGATGAGGTGACTCCATCGTACGGGACCCAATGTCTACAGCTGTTGAAGCATACTGTATAGCTTCTTGATAGCGACCAAGATTCTGACAAATTAATGCTAAGTTGCTATGTGCCATGGCTAAATCAGGGTGAAAAGGTGAGAGTGAGCTTTGTCTTATTTCAAGCGCTTTTCTAAAGCACGAGAATGCAGTTGAATAGTCTCCCATTGATCGGTAGAGCAAACCCATATTGCTATATGTTTCACCTAAGCTAGGATGATTCGATGAAAGAGAATTTTGCCGAATCTCCAGAGCCTTTTTGTGGTGTGATAGTGCAGTTGAATAGTCTCGTGCCAACCAATGCATCAGCCCCACATTATTATATGACTTGGCTAGGTCAGGATGATTAGGTTGAAGAGTGCGTTGTCTAATATCCAACCCCATTTTCATGTGTGCTAATGCAACTGAATAGTTTCCCATCGATTGATAAACCAAACCAATGTCGTTGTGTGACATGGCTATATCGGGATGATTAGGATGAAGAGATTTCTGTTGTATCTCGAGCGCTTTCTCCAAGTGTGATAGAGCGTTTGTGTACTGTCTCATTAATTTGTACACCGTACCAATGCGATTATGTGGTTTGGCCACGTCAGAATGATTAGGCGGCAGTGATTTTTTTTGTACCGCTAGCGCTTTCTCAAAGTGTGTAATCGCAGTTGAATACTTTCCTACCGACATATATACGTCTCCGATATCGTTGTGTAAACTCGCTAGTGAAGGATGATTTGATGGAATTGACTTCGACTGTATTTCTAACGCGTTTTCAAAGTGTTTGAGTGCAGCTAAATATTGTCCCATTGACATATGCACCTCGCCAGTACTGATATATGCCATGAACAAAGGGTTATGATAGGATGCAGGAAACTTTTGGGATATTTCAAGTGCCTTTGTACTGTATGACAGTGCAGTTGAGTACTGTCCAGATGTCCGATAGATCGCACTCAGATAAACGTAATGTTGAGCTAGTGCGGGATGATCAATTGGAACGTTTTGATATACTTGAGAAACCTTTTCGAGGTGTAACAGAGACGTGTTACTGTCACGCCTTTTAGCCATAATTACACTGATAATATAGTTAAATAATGCACTATTAATTGCATTATCGGCAAGTTTCGATTGTTGCCTTGCGCAGCAAATTTCTTCGGCTTTGTTTATCTCACCCATCTTTAACATTAAAATACTCATTTGGGCCCACTCTGGGAGTCCTTCTGTTTCTTGGCGCATATAATCAGTCAGACGCTTTAGTTCTTGGTCATTATCATTTGTCAATGTAAGTTTCACTCTCCACAATCGGTTAGCAATCTGTTCCAGTTCATTGATTCGAAAGACTGTATGCATTGAGAAAAGAATCTCTTGTTCCGCATCTGAAAAATAACTGACTTGGTCCAATGATGCAAATGGAGCAGAGGAGATGGGTGAATTAATTTCTATTTCAAAGATAATGCCCGTTAACTCAGGGTCCACTTGATTACTATCGGCACGCATAAAGGCAATTTGATAGTCAGTGGTTGTAGACAAAAAGTTATTAAATGAAAGTAGAGCTCCTTGATGTTTACGCATGTAATTAAATTCAACATTCAACATACCTTGCCCACGATATACAGTTAATGAATTGCGATTCTTGAAATTCGAATGAAGTTTCTCAATTTGTCTATGGAGATCTCGAACAAAGAACCCCATCTTCAGAATAACCTCAACGTTTTGAATACGAAGTGCTTTATTAAGCATCGAGTATATGAAACATTCTCTGGTATACCACCAGATTGGTGATGGTTGGTCATACTTTTGTTCAAATTCATCGATTATACTAATAGCTGACTCGTTTTCAACCTGCTGTATTAGACAAAATTCAACAAATTCTGTCTTTGCCGTTTCATTATATTCCATCTTGAGAAGAATTTCTTTCAATAATTGTGAGTACATAAATGATTGATCAAGATTATTTATGTCAATTGAAGATGTTTCAGGAGCGAAACTGATCGAAACCAAATTTAAATCAGCTTGTTGCATGTCTCGTTTGAGCACATTGCATAATAGTTCCATTTGAGAGAATACACCTTTCACTTTGTGATGATCTTTAATCCATCGATCGTGTATTTGCTTTTCACGACAAAATACATAAAGAGCAAAAAGTTCAGGTATGTCTAAGATAAGAGGAACTAGTTGTTGACCGAAATTATCGGAAACGATTATAAAGGCTTTTTCGTTTTCGATTTCCGTGAGATAATCAATGCATTGATCGGGATCAACAAATGTTCCAACCCAACTACTGACACATCGAAGTTGGCTGATTATATTTTGTGAATATACATCAGATTCACTGGTATTTGGATCTAGCCAAATTATTATAAAATTTTCTAAAATACGTTGCTTAGAATCTTGTGTGGACATACAATGTGTTTTGTTAATTTTTGTTGAAGAATGCGTTATCTAGTTAGCTACGTATCACTTTTGGACAAGTGAGTTCGCACTTCCGATGTTGTCTTTATCAGTGAAACTGGAAAAAGCACGTTTCAATTGTCTTCGCGTGTTGATACTGTCCGTTGTTGTCGTTGTCTTCATGCGTTGTTATCATTGAATCATATTCTAATGCATCAATATTTTTATGATTAGATAAGGGTAGCTCATTTGGTAACAGCCGAGAATGTCCTTTAAAAAATGTCCTTGACAAAATGTTCCCGAGTTTTTGTCCTTCAAAAAATGTCTTTTACTATAAATATCCTTTACTATAAATGTCCTTTAAAAATGGTCCTTTTCAATAAAGTCCCATGAAAAAATGTCCTTCATTATTAAAATGTCCTTTTAGGGTGTGGGATGTGGGTGGGTGTGGGTGTGAGTGGGTGGGTGTGGGT